TTGTAGGCGTTGGTATGACAAGACGCCCGCACAGATACTGTGAGTGCTTTGTGTTACGCGTGTGTTTATTGTAGGCGTTGGTATGACAAGACGCCCGCACAGATACTGTGAGTGCTTTGTGTTACGCGTGTGTTTATTGTAGGCGTTGGTATGACAAGACGCCCGCACAGATACTGTGAGTGCTTTGTGTTACGCGTGTGTTTATTGTAAGCGTTGGTATGACAAGACGCCCACACAGATACTGTGAGTGCTTCATGTTACGCCCTCATCTCCAGTGCCCGCATCTCGTTACGATTGTAGCAACGTAATTGACGTGCAGATACTGTGAGTGTTTCACACACGCGTGCTTTTATTGTAAGCAATGGCACAACAACATGCCCGCACAGATACTGTGAGTGTTTCACCCGTACATGCGTTTATTGTAAGTGGTTGTTTACCTCGTTCCGTCCTCAGTGACTACAAGGAGTATCACACGGACACGAGTGTGCGATTCGTCATTAAGATGTCGGAGGAGAAGCTGTACCAGGCCGAGGCGTTCGGACTGCACAAGTTCTTCAAGCTGCAGACAACACTAGCGCTGTCCAACATGGTACTACATCTAACCTTTCCTCGTTTTATTTCCATCAAGGTCCCCGAGACCTACACTTGTAGTGAAGCCTTTATTTAGCATTATTACCTCCGCGCAACGGAGTTGCAGGGAGGTAATGTAATCGCTCCCGTGTGTGTGTTCGTGTGTGTGTTCGTGTGTGTGTTCGTGTGTGTGTTCGTGTGTGTGTGTAGCCAGCAGCGAGCCAGCTGTTATACACATGTATACATGTTACACGCGTTGGCGCGATCGATTCAGCACCAGCTCGCCTTAGGCCGTCCAGTCAGCAGCAGCTCGCCTTAAGGCGTCCAGCCAGCAGCAGCCAGCAGCAGCCAGCAGCGAGCCAGCTGTTATACACATGTATACATGTTACACGCTCACGGAGGTATGCACTCTTTTTGAGTGCCCTCTGTCTAGTTAACATGTATTGACGTGTTATGCCATAATCAATCTCGTGTCGGAAATCTGAGACTGGTAACTTACTAAGTCCCAGTGAGTTTATATAGCAGAAATCAAAGCGAATCTGATCACATGCGAGACTGGCTGGGTTTTCGGAAGTATTTCTGAGACTGATCGCTGCGTATAACTCGCTGCGTTGCAGATGCTGTTCGATGAGAACAGCTGCATTAAGAAGTACACGAGCGCGCTGGAGATACTGAAGGAATTCTACGTGATGCGGCTTGCGCGCTACGACATTCGCAAGGCCTACCTCGACGGCATCCTCACCGCCGAGTCACTCAAGTTAGACAACCAGGCTCGCTTCATCCTCGAGAAGATAGAGGGCACCATCGTCATTGGTGGGCACTGCGCAGTAGCATCGTTGCACGAGTGGCGATGTCGTTACACGAGTTGCGGCGTCGTTGCACGAGTGGAGGCGACGTTACACGAGTGGCGGTGTCGTTACACGAGTGGCGGCGTCGTTACACGAGTGGCGGCGACGTTACACGAGTGGCGATGTCGTTACACGAGTGGCGGCGTCGTTACACGAGTGGCGGCGTCGTTACACGAGTGGCGATGTCGTTACACGAGTGGAGGCGTCGTTACACGAGTGGCGGTGTCGTTACACGAGTGGCGGCGTCGTTACACGAGTGGCGATGTCGTTACACGAGTGGCGGCGTCGTTACACGAGTGGCGGCGTCGTTATACGAGTGGTGGCGTGGTTACACGAGTGGCGATGTCGTTACACGAGTGGCGGCGTCGTTACACGAGTGGTGGCGTGGTTACACGAGTGGCGATGTCGTTACACGAGTGGCGGCGTCGTTACACGAGTGGTG